CACTATGGGGCAATTTAGCACGGCCAATCCACCCTAACCTGCACATCTTTGGACCGTGGGAGGAACTGGAGCACCCGGAGGAAACCCACGCAGACATGGGGAGAATGTGCAAACTCCACACAGACAGTCACCCGAGGATGGGATTGAACCCAGGCCCATGGCGCTGTGAGGCAGCTGTGCTAACCGCTGAGCTGCCGTGCTGCGTTATCGAAATTAAACTTCATCTGCCACTCCTTGGCCCATCTGGTAAAAGTCCCGTTGTACTCTCAGATAACCTTCTTCAGTGTCCACTACACCATCAATTGTGACGTAGAGAGTTTTGCCAGTTCTCTCTCTCTCTCTCACACACACACACACACACACACACGTAGACACACACACATACATACACACACACACAAATAAGAAGCGCATTACCCCCTGGATGGCCCAGCTTTCACTTTAAGATGATGCTTTGCCTCATTCTGGCCCCCCCAACTCCTTTCGCCCACATCCTGCACCACCCCTACAAAAAACAAGTTGCTACAGTGATTCAATAAGGCAGCTCACCACTACCTTCTCAAGGGAGCAATTAGGGAAAGGGAATGAATGCTGATCTGGTCTAATATCCAGTGCAGTCACATCCCCATGGATTCAATTTTCTTAGAAATGAGTGGAGAAGAAACACAGGGTGGGGGAGACAGAAACCAGAGAGGTAAAAGGGGTGAATGAGGAGGAGAGGGATAAGAGTGGGGTGGGGAGACAGTGAGAGACAGAAGGCAGGGGTGAGAGAAAACAGGAGAGGGATAGCATGGTGTGGAGAGACAGAGTGGGGAAGAGAGACAGGAAATGGCAGGAGTGAGAGAGGAGTGGGTCATCATTGGAAGCAGAGAGAGAATAGGGGAGAGAGACAGGAGACAGAGGTACGAGAGAGGATGAGATGGAGAGGAGAGAGATGGAAAAAGACAGAGGAATGAGAGAAGAGGGGAGTGAGAGATAGCGGGGTGATGGAGAGGTAGATTAAAGGAAAGAGATAGAAGACAGGGATGAAAGAGAAGGGGACTGAGAGAGTGGGAGTGAGGGAGAGTGAAAGAGAAGACAGATGGATGAGAGAGAGGAGGAATGAGAAAGCGGATGGAGTGACAGGGAGGAGTGAGAAAGAGGGGTGAGGGAAGAGAATAAGAAGTATGGGAGAAGGTTGGGAGAGAGGGTGTGAAGGCGAGGGAGGAGCAGAGAAGGCACGGGAAAGGAAGGGGAGATGAACAGGAGGAGGTAGAGGCTACAGAAAGACTGGAGGCTGAGAGAGAGGGCTATTCTTTACCAGTGGTGGTAAGCACAGTGCTGACGAAGAAGAGGGAAGAGGCCAGGTCCCAGTTGCGGTCATCAGAAGCATTTCTCAAGGCCGAGACACCATAGTTGCTGGCAGTGAGCACCCTGTGCAGGAGAGCGTCCAATTCTGGTTCCTGGAGGCATCCGTGCTCCCCCAGGAACCTGGACTTCACCTCGTCCAACTCCTTCCTCATCCGCACCTCCCACGGCTGCTCGATGGCCGAAAAGACCACGGTGCCAAACAGCATGTAAACCAGGAAGCAGACCGTCAGCTTCAAGAAGTAGTGGGTCTTGAGGTCACAGTGTGGGGAGTGCTCAGCCATGGCTCAGTGGGCAGCCCAGCTCCCAGTGGGCCACGTCTCCAACTGGGGCTTCGAGACATTGGAGGGAGCTGGGGAGAAGGAGCAGGGTTGCAGAATGAGCTCCATCTCACCTGGGGAGGGGGGTTTCCAGAAGGGAGAGGGTGGAGGGCTGAAAGCAAACAAGGACTTGTGTCACAACTTTGGGAAGAAAGTTTCTTGCTGCTTCCAAAGAGAAAATAATGTTTGGTTCTCCCCCTCTCTGTCTCATCTAACTCTCGGTGTCTCTCAGGGATGTCACAAAGGGGGTGAGGTCAAATACATCCATTGGGCGGGGGGGGGAGGGGAGGCTGAAATCATGAGGGGACAAACTGGAGGGGGGTGGTGGGAGGGGGGTGGGGTAGGGTGGTGGGAAGAGGTCTCTCTCCTCAGCCCTGCGATCTCTTCCTTCAATCCTGGTGTCTCTTTCCCCAAACTTCGAGTTTCTTCCTCCCAGTCCTGGGGTAGTCACACCCGGGTTTTGAATGGGGAACGGGGTGAGGGAGCCCAGGGTTTTGAATGGGGAACGG